GATCTTATTCTGCAATGCCTCCTGATTAAGTGTGGGTTTGGCAGCTGAATTCAATTATTTGTCTGGGCTGACTATGGAGGATGTTGATGCTGCCAGTGTTGGATGTTCTCTGAACTGGTTGGTGTAAATTGAGAATGAGTTTTACAGGATATTTTTATTATTTATTTTTTAATTCTTTAACTCGCTTATATGCATGTTAAATTTGTTAAAGTTGGTTAAACAAGCTGTGTAGGATGGTGGTTTTGTACTACAGTTTATGCAAAAGATGTTATTATTTCGTCGTGTGGGTGTTGAAGCCTTTTGAGTTAACCTTGCTGCGTAATATTGTAGATTGAGTGAAAAGAGGGGACTAGTTTGTTTTACGTTTCTTAAAGTTTCGGTTATATATGGTTTGGTTTGTGACAATAGTTGAACCTCTTGGCACTAGTAATTTTTCTGAGGCAAGGAAATGTACATGCTATTGGCTGGGGCAAGAAAGTGCAATATATTTTATTTATGCACAAGCTGTCTTTAGGTTATGTGGCTGTGGCTGTCTGTTGTTTTGCTCTCTTATCATGTTTTGTGTTTTGACAATTCAACATGTTTGATTTAACATAAATTTTCTTTTGTGGGCTTTTTTGCTATGTTATGTTTTATAACCCCACAGGCATTACATATGACAATGTATTGCATACGTGTGAACTAATGTATTTCTAGTGTGGTTCACTTTTTTACAGCTTTTTGTTATTTTTGATTCATAAAAAAATCCCGTACTCATATTTTTCCCCATTCATTCAGAACTTTCCGTGGCACAAAATATATCAATCTTAAACCAATGGCTGATGGTCATGAAACCGATAAGAATATCGAGATATGGAAAATCAAGAAGCTCATCAAGGCCTTGGAAGCAGCCCGAGGCAATGGCACTAGCATGATCTCCCTCATCATGCCTCCGCGTGATCAAATCTCCCGTGTCACCAAGATGCTTGGGGATGAATTTGGAACTGCATCCAACATCAAAAGCAGAGTCAACCGACAGTCGTTCCTCGGGGCAATCACGTCCGCCAAGCAGAGGCTCAAATTGTACAACAAGGTTCCTCCAAATGGGCTCGTTCTCTACACCGGGACCATCGTGACCGAGGACGGCAAGGAAAAAAAGTGACAATTGATTTCGAGCCGTTCAGGCTCATAAATGCATCCCTTTACCTCTGTGACAACAAGTTCCACACTGAAGCGCTCAATGAGCTTTTAGAGTCCAATGACAAATTTGGATTTATTGTCATGGATGGTAACGGGACCCTTTTTGGAACACTGAGTGTAAATACTAGAGAGGTTCTTCACAAATTCACTGTGGACCTTCCTAAGAAACACGGGAGGAGAAGGCAGTTTGCCTTGCGTTTTGCTCGTCTCCGTATGGAAAAACGACATAACTACGTTAGAAAGACAGCCGAGCTTGCCACCCAATTTTTCATTAATCCCCAGACAAGTCAGCCTAATGTGGCTGGGCTAATACTTGCTGGCTCGGCTGACTTCAAGACTGAGCTGAGTCAGTCATACATGTTTGATCCTCGTCTCCAGGCCAAAATTTTGAATGTTGTGGACGTCTCTTATGGTGGGGAAAATGGATTCAATCAGGCCATTGAGCTTTCTGCTGAAATCCTCTCCAACGTGAAATTCATACAAAAAAAACTTCTTATTGGCAAATACTTTGAGGAAATTAGTCAGGACACGGGGAAATATGTTTTCGGAGTGGAGGACACTTTGAAGGTTCTGGAAATGGGTGCTATCGAGACACTCATTGTTTGGGAGAATCTTGATATCACTAGATACTTCCTGAAGAATACTGTATCCGGTGAAGTCACCATTAAGCACTTCAACAAGGAGCAGGAGTCGGACCAGAAGAACTTCCGGGACCCAGAGACAAATGTCGAGCTGGAAGTTCAGGAGAAGTTGTCTCTGCTTGAGTGGTTTGCCAATGAGTACAGAAGGTTCGGATGCACACTCGAGTTTGTGACGAATAAGTCCCAGGAGGGGTCTCAGTTCTGCAGGGGTTTTGGGGGTATATGTGGGATCCTCCGCTACCAGTTGGATGTTCGGGATTTTGACGAGGTTTCTGATGATAGGGGAGTCTATGAAGATTCAGATTAGCAATCAATCAGCTTTTCCGAATCCGGTACGGGGATGGGGCGGGAGGCCACAACTGGTGTGCAGGGGTCGGCGTTAGGCTGTAGCGCTCGGGCTGTCTTGATGGGATATAATTGAAGGTATTTCGCGGGAGGTAAGTAATTTCCTTGAAATACCAAATTTTGCTTGATGTCTAACCTTATTTTATAAGAAACTCCATGATCTTAATTTCCCTTGTGTATTTGTTTTATCATATATGGATACCTCTAATCAATCGGCACACTTTGTGAAAAAAGAACAAGATTGTGCTTCCGACCCGTGTTGTATATGCATCTTATTTTGCATTTTCAAAGAATAACAAGAAATATAATATTTACATTGATTAACAGTTCCTGCTAATGGAATGTGTGATTAATAGCCTCCCTTTTTCACGTGGACGTGCAGGGGCGTGATTGATCAGTCTGGTGGACATGAAATGTTGCCCACTTAAGGAGACAATATAAAAGTTTACATTATGATTTTCTGCTGAACAGTCGGTATTTCTCACTCTGTGTATGGGTCAATTTTGGAGTCTTTATGATCGTGCTTGAACTTTGAAAACATTTATTTTGTTGTGGGAGCTTATAATCAGTTGTGAGTTTTACATTTGTCTTGTGCATGTCCTGCAAAGACCATGGAAGCATCTATTATGATCTTATCTTTCCATAATAGTATATCATCTACTTGTCACAATGATATATATTTTATTTTTTTTGATTTGGTGGTGTGTGCTTAATTAGTTATGATATGGAAATGATGGCATTAAGTAAAAGGTCTGAGCTGGATTGCATTGTTGGTAGCCATGGGATAGAGGTTTCGAAAGAGATTGGTTAAAATAGATGAAAAGGGCCCCTGCCCGTGTTCGAGTTCTACACTTTGGGCATTCGCAACCTCTTCTATAAAAATACTGCTATTGGTTAATAAGCTTGGTAGTGACGGGTTGTGAGAAAAGGCATTGATTGCATCCTAGTATTGGATTGCGATTTAAACTTCAGCCCGACATCTTTTTCGCTTCTATCCCATGTTCCGATTCATTCGAGCTACCATCATGTGTCCTGCATTTGATCAATAATCTCGTGCTGATCCATTCATCAGTTGCTTATTTTCTCTGTGTGTGTATGTATCTAAATTAAGGTGTACCTCTTGGTTTTTTAAGCCTGGATCAAATCTCTGTTTATCCAGCGCATTTGGTGACTTCAGTTTCATTTGAGATGCCTAAAGGGTCGAATGTTAAGGAATAACTATTGTATAATGGGTGAAAATTATATATGGAAGCTTTACAGATTAAAAGGCATTATTTGAGTGATTTTTTAGTTCCTTCTGTTAGTGTATTTTTGACCTACAAGGCAAGTCACGAGTGAATCTAGTGAAGGCTACTTGGAAAGTGGGAGCTTGTAAACGTTAAATTATGTTTCTTGGGGTGTTTCTTCTCCAACAAAACGTGGTGGTAGAAGAACCACCAAGAAAATGAACAAAAATATGAAGGATACGACAAAAAAATCAGGGTTTATACAAGTTA